AGACCGCAACCGGCCGACCAAGCGGCGTGAGTGTGGTGCGGTCTCGAAAGAAGGACCGAGAAGCCCCTGAGTCAAGTGTGAAAGTGAGGGAGGCCGAAGTCGACGCAGTACCTGAGAGCGCAGTCTCACCAGTACCTGAGAGCGCAGACGCACTGGCACCTAGAGCAGCAGCCTCACAAGCACCTAGCGCAGCAGTACCAATGCCCGGGTCGGGCGGGAAACACCGGTAACAGTCACCCTCCTCACTAATAGTCACAGCATACATGGCAGCAAGGATAGCATCAAAGTCAAGATCAAAGATAGCTACACCAGCCCTAGACAGCTCACCCCAGCGGGGAATCTCACTAGCCTCGGGGAACTGCTGACGCCAAGCGTTCGTCAGGCGGCCAAAGCAGCGCTGGGTGGGGTGGGCACCCCCACACTGCTCACCCGCGCGGTCGCTGGAACGCAGGACGTAGGTGCACGGACCAGTACCCCCACCCCTCTGACGCTGCGTGTACCACTCACGGAGCTGCTGAGGCGAGGGGATGTCCCGCGAACGCTGCTGCTGCTGCTGCTGCTGGCGCTGACCACTACCAGAGCCGCTCCGCTGCGGGGCACCACCTCGACCAGCTCCACCCCCTCCGCCACCGCCGCCTCCACCTCCACCACCACCGCCGCCTCCACTCCCACCGCTACCGCCTCCGCCGCCTCCGCCTCCGCTGCCGCCACCACCACCACCACCTCCGCCACCACTACGGCCACCCCCACTCCCTCCGCCGCCTCCACTTCCACCTCCACCGCCCCCTCCAGTCCCACCCGCGCCCTTGCCCCCCTTGCCCTTGCTAGAGCGGCGTCTCCCGCTAGGGGCAGACGCAGCACCGACCGACTCAAGACCAAGAAGGTCGGCCGCAGCAGCAGAGGCAACAGAGGGCAACAGGGGGGAAGGGGAACACCCCTCAAAGATGGGGGTGCGAGGGTCACCACGAGAGGCTCCTACAGCGACTATGCTCTTTTCCGCTGCTAGGAGGGCCTTCTCGAGGAGGTCAACAGTGAGAGTGGTGGAACAGACTGAGAGGAAGTGGTCCCTGACTACACGAAGGGAGTCAGGGAGGCGGGTGACTATGTAATAGAGAGTGATGTACATGGGGGGGGGGGGGTTCTTGGCGCAGAACTCAGCAGGAAGCGCGGCGCGGTAGCGAGTGTCACTAGTGCGGAGGTGCGCAATGAGGTCAGCGACTGTGGGAAAGGCAGCAAGGTCAGGGAAGAGGTACGGTAGCATGAGGCGGCTTAGTGCAGCAGTGGCAGGGGCAGAGTAGCGCGCAACTACAGGGTCGTACAAGGTCTGAGCACTCTTGTACTGACTAAAGTGCGTGCGCTCAGTGGTAGGCAGGTGGCGACGCACAGCAAGACGTGCAGCAGCATCGCGGGTGGCCCACTGAGAGCGAACAGTGGGGTCAGCATCAGCAGCAGGGGCAGGAGAGGCGCCAGAGGTGAGGTCAAAGAGGGAAAGACCGTCCGCCCTATCGCACTGTAAGAACAGCTGTAGGTCGTCGACCCAGACCTCAAAGTCAATGGCTCGACCCTCAGCGTCAAAAGCGAGGACACTAGGGGTAGCCATGACGACGACAGTGGAGCAGTGCAAGCAGTAGGGGAAGGGCACGCAGCGACAGCGGTACGGTGCTCACCGGACAGGGCAGGTCGGGCGGCTCGGCAGTAGGGCGGCCCGGTGACTCGGCGGCTCGGCTGCTGGGCGGCCCGGCGGCAGGGCGGCTCGGCTCCTGGGCGGCTCGGCGGCTGGGTGGCTCGGGTGCAAGGCGGCTCAGCGGCAGGGCGGCTCGGCTGCTTGGCGGCTCGGGTGCAGGGCGGCTCGGCGGCTGGGCGGCTCGGCTGCACTGCGTCTCGGCGGTCCGGTGGCTCGGCGGCTGCTGCTGGGCGACTCGGCTGCTCCGGTACCGGGCGGCGTGGCGGTCGGCTGCTTGGGCGGCGGGGCCGCGTAGGTGAGGGCGGCGGGGCCGTGTCTGCTTGGGCGGCGGGGCCGCGTAGGTGAGAGCGGCGGGGCCGCGTTGGTGAGGGCGGCGGGGTCGCGTAGGAGAGGGCGGCGAGGCCGCAAGGCTCAGGGCGGCGGGGCCGCGATAGTAGGGCTGCGGGGCCGCGAGGGAAGGGCGGCAGGGCCGCGACAGTAGGGCGGCGGGGCCGCGATCAAAGGGCGGCGGGGCCGCGATCAGCAGGGCGGCGGGGCCGCGAGAGCAGGGCGGTGGGGCCGCGACAGCAGGGCGACGGGGCCGCGATGTAAGGGCGGCGGGGCCGCGACAGCAGGGCGACGGGGCCGCGATCAAAGGGCGGCGGGGCCGAGAGAGCAAGGCGGCGGGGCCGCGATGTAAGGGCGGCGGGGCCGCGATGTAAGGGCGGCGGGGCCGCGACAGTAGGGCGACGAGGCCGCGATGTAAGGGCGGGGCCGCGACAGCAGGGCGACGGGGCCGCGAGGTAAGGGCGGCGGGGCCGCAATGGGTAGGGCGGCGGGGCCGCGATAGCAGGGCGGCGGGGCCGCGAGGTAAGGGGCGGCGGGGCCGCTAGGAAAGGGGCGGCGGGGCCGCGATAGTAGGGTCGGCCGCTAGGGCGGCTCGGTGAGAGAACGGCCCGAGGCGCGACTCGGGATGAGGGCGCTTCGGGCAGGAAAAAAAAAAAAAAAAGAGTGGTGGGCCCTAGGTGCAGTTCCCACAGGGGAACCTGCTCGATACCATGAGAAGAATAGAACGAGAATGGATGAACTATGAATGAAGTGAGTACAAATAGGAAACCCTAATTGGGTTGTACCCCCTATGGGATACCCCACTATAGCCTACACAACAGCATAAGCTATATAAAAACCTGACAGTATCTGGGACTCTTGTGTTTCGGGAACAGCTGTGGCAGGAGTGGTAGTATTGGTAGAGCCCGGTGGCGGGGAGTTGGGAGTGGTGTTGTCAGACTGGGTGTTTTGGGTGTAGCTAGAGGGATCCATTGTGCAGAGAAGTGAGTAGTGGGTCAATGTCGTGGCTTCTTGTATTGTAGTATGGCTAGTTGTGATTGGTCAATGTCAATCGTTGCATCCGAGTCGCATTTTTTCATCTTTTGGCGAGGCGGTCTGCTGAAATCCAATTTCGCCCGCCAATCGCGTGCGCGGACAGGCGGACAGTCCGTTTGTGATTCGGACACTCCGTTGTTAGAGTTTCGTATTGTTGGAAAGTGGAAAAAGTGTCATGACGGTTCGAATTTGTAGCGACGTCGCAAACGTCCTCGCGAAGAACTAAACGACATTAAACGATAATGGTAACCCTTCGCATCGACGTACGGTCCACGGTTCGTTCCGTCGGGTGCAAAATGGTTACGCACCCTAAGCAGTAAGGCTGAACATAAGGAGTGATATAAAGCCTTGCACGGTTACGATTACGAGCGGCTATTAATGCATTCTGTCTGCTAGTCATGGACGAATATATGCAACGATGTAGTCTTGGCAGAGTTTACTGCAGTGGTGCAAATACTTCCAGTATCAGTGACGCATCAAGAAGCAGACTGCTGTCTTACCAGAAGCAAGCTCTAATCTTTTGAACATTATGACAGGGGATACCTCGAAAACCATAACTCCGAGCTTCGTGTTTCAGCTTGGTTGCGAGTGCGTTACAATCTCGTCAATGCCTCGCGAAGCCTCTTGGTAGCTGTAACTAACGCTTCGCTAAAGCCCGCTAAGTTACAACTGTGCACTGTCTAATGCTGTTACGGGTGCAACTTAAAAGAGAATGACGATTGCACTCAGGGGTCACTAAGAGTACAGATGTGAGCTAAGGCATGAGTGAACATTCATAGCTAAAACGACAAATGATATCGTGGTGTGTGCAAGCTAGCTAGTATGCTGGCAGCGAGGTTCGGGCAAGTCCTGAAGCGTAGGCCGACTTGGCTGGTCTAGTTGTGCTAGGTTTGGGAAAAGCGTCGAGCGATGGCAGCAAAACGCCATTGGCAGTAACAGGCGGAGACACGGCCGGATATGTACGCGTTGTCGAGGCGCTCTGTAAGGAATGCCGAAAAAATCCTTACACAAATAAAAAATCAAAGTAACAGCAATATGCTATCTCACATAGAAAGCTTTGCTCATATATCTTACAAGAGGGAAACCATTGCCACGGCTGCTGCTGACAAACCTGATTCGCCCGCCGTTCGACTCCATTCGCCTCCGCATTTCAGCTTTCAACTGACCGTGATTCTCCCGCCTCTAGTGCGGCATGGCAGCTGTAGCTGCCCCTTCCACTCCATCAACCTCACACATTCCTTTGCAGTGACCTGAGTGTTTCCAATACCCTCCCAATTTCTGGCCGCCTCGACCGATCGTCCTCCATGCAGTGCCGAGCCAGAGTCGCCAAACCTCGAGCGTCTGGCTCGGGGTACTGGTTACCAAGTCGAGGGTCGATATACGCTTCAGGTCCGAGATTCAGGTCCGAGAGCAGTGCTTTGCACTCGATGACCATGTTTTCTCCCTCTTCCAACACTCTCCTGCCGGTTACCAGCTCTAGCAGGAGAACACCAAAGGAGTAAACGTCGCTCTTGGCACCCAGGCGGCCTGGGGACAGGGAGGGGGTTCGTGTGGGGAGGGAGAGTAGGTGTCCTGTGGTGGTTTCCAGACCAAGTAGGAGAGCGCAAAAGGAATAGACGTCACTTTTGGCAGGCACCCAGGTGTCCTGCGGTGGGCAGCGCATAGCTGGGCGGGGCAGGAAGGGGCGGCGGCAGGGTAGGGGAGGGGTGAGAGAGGATAGATGAGAGGGGCGAAGAGCACGTTTTTGTACCATCTCCTTTTACCAGAAAAGCGAACTATGCTGCTCTTGGCGACCTGGGATGGGTGGGGAAAGGGGGGTTGAGGGGTGGTGAGGGGTGGTGAGGGGCAGGAGGGGAGAGGGACCAGGTACAGAGGGTTGATGTACCCCTCGATGTCCTTCATGGGATTCCACACTGTCGACCTCTTCCCTACAAACCCTAGAAAGCCCGTCAAGTCACTCACCTGTCTCCATGTATGAGGGGTCGATATAGCCTTGAGTGCCCATGAGGCGAGTTGATACAATCGACCGCAGCTGCCTATCCGGCCCCACTCGCACCATGCCAAAGTCTGTCAGCTTCGCATCGTACTCCTGTGGCGTGAAGAGGGAAGGGACGAGTGAGATGCTATTGAAAGTGTTTGCTACCAAAACCAAAACCTAGCTGCCCGTCCGGCCCCACTCGCATCATACCAAAGTCTGTCAGCTTCGCATCGTAGTCTTGTAGCGTGGAGAGGGAAGGGAAGAGGTTGAAACCTCGAGGGATGGGGATTCTTTTGAGTCGACTCAAAAGTCACCTCGTTGAGAGGGAAGGGACCATGCCAAAGTCTGTCAGCTTCGCATCGTAGTCCTGTGGCGTGGAGAGGGAAGGGAAGAGGTTGAAATCTCAAGGGATGGGGATTCTTTTGAGTCGACTCAAAAGTCACCTCGTTGAGAGGGAAGGGACGAAGAGGAAACATTGAGGGATGGGAATTCTTTTGAGTCGACTCAAAAGTCACCTCGTTGAGAGGGAAGGGACCATGCCAAAGTCTGTCAGCTTCGCATCATTGTCCTGTAGCATTGGTGGTGGGGGGGAAAGGAGTGAAGGGGAACATTGGGAGGGATGGGGGTAAGGGCGGCCATTTCATGGCAAAGGCTGTCATTATGATTCTTCGCACCATCCCAAAAGCCTTTCAGCTTCGCATCGTACTCCTGCGGTGCTGGTGGTGCGGAGGAGACGCGTGGGGAGATTTGAAGTATGGGGGAAAGAGGGCAGTCATTGAAGATAAGCTATATGTGATTTTTGAGACGCCTCAATATTGGGAGTATGGGGGAAACGGGGCAGTCATTGAAGGGAAGCTACATGTGATGGCTCGCACCGGCCCAAAGTGTGTCTGGATCGCATCATACTCCAGTGGCGTTGGGATGGAAGGAGTGAGGGGGGAGAGTGGGAGGGATGGGGATAAGGGCAGCCATTTCAAAGCCGTTGTTGCAAGGTATATGTGATGACTTCCACAGCTCCAGCACAGCACAGCAATGAAGCAACCCCTTGCCACTCGCAGGCGACAGCAGCACGTTGGCGGCTGTCAAATCGCGATGGATCATGTTGAGTGCATGCAGGTACCTGAGGGCCTCTGCTCCTTGCACCGCCACCTCCCCCATTTGCCGCAAGCAGCCCACCGCCCCAGCACAGCACCCTCTCACCACTCACAGGCGACAGCAGCACGTTGGCAGCTTTCAAATCGCGGTGAATGATGTTGAGTGTGTGCATGTACGTCAGCGCCTCTGCCACTTGCACCGCCACCTTGAGCCGCATGTCCCAGCTAAAGACGAGCTCTCCCTTCGCACCTGGTGAACGGTGACGACAGAAGTGGAATTCAGGGGAATGGGATGGTGGTGCGCAACGCCAGGGCCTCTGCTGCCACTTGCACCGCCACCTTGAGCCGCATGTCCCAGCTAAAGACGAGCTCTCCCTCCGCACCTGGTGGGTGGGGAGGAAGGAAATGGGGAGCGGAGAGGGCGGGAGGAAGGGTAAAGTGGGTATGGAGGAGTGGAAATGGAAAAGAAGGCGGTGCTTGTCCCAGGTGCAGAGGAGATCTCTGATTGCACCTGGTGGGTGGGAGGAGGTGGGTGTTCACACCTGGTGGGGTTGACAGGCACGAAGGAGATCAGGAAAGGGGTGGAGAGGGCGGGAGGAAGGGGTAAAGTGGTTATTGAGGAGTGGAAATGGAGAGGAAGGCGGTGCTTGTCCCAGGTGCAGAGGAGTTCACACCTGGTGGGGTTGACAGGCACGAAGGAGATAAGGAAAGGGGTGGAGAGGGCAGGAGGGCAGTGAGGGTACCAGGCAGGGCAGAGAGGGCAGCAGGAACGGCAGAGAGGGCAGCAGGAACGGCAGAGAGGGCAGCAGGAACGGCAGAGAGGGCAGCAGGAACGGCAGAGAGGGCAGCAGGAACGGCAGAGAGGGCAGCAGGAACGGCAGAGAGGGCAGCAGGAACGGCAGAGAGGGCAGCAGGAACGGCAGAGAGGTGAAAGCACACCGAAGTCATGAGCTCGTACACAAGCAGGGAGAAGTGACTACAGCATCTACTCCTGACTGTTACCGCCCACGCACCCCACTCACTGTCTTTCAGAGCTTTGTCCAAGCACCCCCCCGGCATGAACTCGTACACGAGCAGAGCTTCGTCTCGCTCTATGCAGTAGCCGTGCAGATGCACGAGGTGCGGGTGGGACAGCCGGCCCAGCACGATCACCTCTTTCTGCACGGGGTTGGGGGGGTGGTGGATTGGGTAGAGGGATGTGAAGGGTCCATGCAGTAACCGTGCAGGTGGGACAGTTTTGAGACATCTCAAAACAGATTGGGTAGAGGGATGTGAAGGGTCCATGCAGTAACCGTGCAGGTGGGACAGGCGGCCCAGCATGATCACCTCTTTCTGCAAGAGAGGGGTTAAGAGTGGTTGGAGGAGTGGAGTTGGGAAAATGGGTGGGTTGGATGCGATCCATGCAGTAGCATGCACGAGGAGCGGGTGGGACAGCCGCCCCAGCACGATCACCTCTTTCTGCACGAGAAGGAATGGCGGGTGGAGTTGGGAAGGGGGGTTGGGTAGAGCTGAGCGGGTCCAAGCAGACGCACGAGATGCAGGTGGATCAGCCGGCCCAGCACGATCACCTCCTTCTGCACGAGAGGGATTGAGAGGGGTTGGAGGAGCAAGTCGAGAAAATGGGTGGGTTGGATGCGATCCGTGCAGTAACCGTGCAGACGCACGAGATGCAGGTGGATCAGGCGGCCCAGCACGATCACCTCCTTCTGCAGGTGAGGGATTTTGAGGGGGTGGTGGGGTCGTGGGATGGCGGGGTGTTGTGGTGGGGATATGAAGGCTCCATGTCGTGGCCGTGCAGGCAGGCGAGGTGCAGGTGCGACAGCTCCCCTTCCCAGAGAAGACTTTTGAGTCGACTCAAAAGTCACCTCGTTACAATGGCACAAGGCTCCATGTCGTGGTCGTGCAGGCAGGCGATGTGCGGGTGGGACAGCCCCCCTTCACGGAAATCTGGTTTTGAGTCGAATCAGGGGATTGAGGGGAACGCGAGAGATTGAGGGGATTGGGGGGATTGTGGATCACGGAAATCTTTTTCGATTGAGGGGATTGGGGGGATTGTGGATCACGGAAATCTTCTTCGATTGAGGGGATTGGCATTGTGTGGAAACGCGAGAGATGCTCGTTGGGAAAGCTGGCTTCCCACGCTCGTGCCAAAACCCCCCTTATTTTCTTCCACAGACGCACGCACGGCACCAGAAATTCTTCCGCATTTCTCCCCCATTTCCCCCCCATTTCTCCCCCATTCCCCCCCATTCCCCCCCCATTACTCCCCCATTTCTCGCCTATTTCCCCCCCATTTCGCACGCACACGCGCACGCACCAGAAACTCTTCCGCATATCGTTCGTTCGCCTCGCGCATTCTCTTGATCGCCACCGGCTCCGCGCCAAGCCCATTCGGGCCCCGCGGGATCGCCCCCCAATACACGGTCCCGAACCCGCCTACGCCAATGGCGTGTCGTCGATGAAACCAATTCGTCGCAGCGCGGAGTTCGGCGAACGAAAACCGCCGCAGGGAGCTCGGGATGAGGTCAAATCGGGGATTGTCGCTGGTAGTGCCACTGGCGCTAGTAGCATTCAGCGTTGTACCGTTAACCGGAACACAATTATGGGTGTCACTGGTACTAGGATTTGCGGTTGAACTGTCGACCAAAACTAACTTATTGGTGTCACTGCCAGTGGCGCTATTCGAGGAGGAGACCACGACAAAAACATTGAAGGTACTACTGGCGCTAGGAATCGCGGTTGAACCGTCGAGCGAACCATCGTATTCGGAGATTTGAGAGGTGGTGGTTCTGAAAGACGTTTTATTCTGGCTGCTGAGGCTGGTCTTGCTGGCGCGACGATCAATGATTGATGTGCTTATTGCACCGTGATCTGCTTGGAAAAGGGCAGAGGAAACGGAAAACGATGTTATGACACAGGAGGTAGATGGGGAGGGGATAATTAGGGTTACCATCGCTTGGAGTCGTCGACTTACCCCATTCGCCTGAAAACGATCGCATTCGATGAACTGGCACTCAACTACTTCGCTTAATTCATTTGATTCAAGTAGAGCGCAGTTTCATGCCACACGATCTTAGTCAACAATAGATTTATTTAACATTTGTCGAATCGTTATTCAAAGCGTCTGAGAGACATACGGGACTGACGTACCCGTTTTCGACATGAAACAACCCATTTTTCGTCACGTAAACCAATTTGAGGTGGCGGCGCTGTTATTGAATGAGAATTCAGCTTTCAGAACTTGGAGGGAAGAAAAACAAGAGCGATAACTACGTCTGTCAGCCACATTCCCATTCCACTGCCTCAGACAGCCTGTTGCTACTCCATCAGGCGATTATGTCTGTTGCTACTCCGCTAAGCAGAAAGTTGAACATTGGTGATAGGGAGTCTTGCATGCCGTGACGATTTCGAGCGGCTGCGAATGCGTTCCGTGTGCTAGTTATGGACGAGTAACTCCAGCGTAACAATCGGTCGGACCGAACCGGTGTCACTGTGCGATATAGAGAAGGAAGGATCATAAGAGCGCTTCAATCACGAATATTATTTGTTGCAGTCCTAAAATAAATATTTCTGCAATGGTGCTGATGTACAGGCGTCAAATACCTAATGTAAGAGGCAGCAAGTGGCTGCTAGTAATGTATCAGAAACCAACGAATGGTTCTTATTCATTAGAGACCCTGGTTGAGACTCAGGAAGTGATTTCTCAGTCGAGAGCGGGAAGGAGAATCTCTAAGGAAGCACATACAAGTGCGTAATCTCTTCGTTAACTGCTCGTGATTTCGTGTTTTAGCCTGGTTGCCATTTCGCAACAATCTCGTCTGGACCTCGCGAACCATTCTCGCCACATACCATCCATCGCCAAAGACCCAACAGAACGAGATATTTGGCTTGTACTGTACTGTACAGTACAGCAGACCAGCAACTGTCCCATCCCATCCCATGGCCCCCACGGACCCGACAAGTTCAAGGGGAGAGAAATGCTGCCTTGCCGGAGCCTGCTTCTGAGCCAGGACAAATTCGTTGTCCGAGGAGGTGGATGGATGGACCCTGCTTCCCTGACAGGCACAACCTTTTGGGTTTTTAGTTACGGCGGAAGAGGTACTTCCGAAACTACGCTTTCTAGGTACCTTGTTTTCTACCTGCGCCCAGTTTCCCAGGTTTTGCGACCCACACAGAAGACTTTCTGCTCTAAGACAGAACTCAACTCCTTTTTTACCCACGCGTCATCATATCACTGCACAGCACAAATTTGCCTTTCTATCCGCACTAGACGAAATCCCTCTAGGCTGGCAAGTGTAAGGGGTATCAACCCTAAACACCTTGCGACTAAGTGTTTAAGGTTGATGCCAAAACTAAATCCCTCTTGGCTGGCATGCTAATGTATGGCATCAACCCTGAACACCTTGTCGCAAGGTTTTTAGGGTTGATGCCCTTGGAAACTTCCCAACCGAGAGAGGCTTAGTGTTGTGCTTGCTGGCAGAAGTAACCCGATGAGAACAGTGCTTGCGTGACGTGCGAAGAAGCTGGGTTCTGTGTTAGCACAATAACTCCTCCGCCTCAGAAGCGGATCAGTGGAGAGTGTGCACAGGTCAAGATTAAAGTCTCTTGAAAGAAAGAAAGCTACTGTAAGCCTTCCAAAAAACTAAAAACCTTAACCCCTTGGCCACGTTTGACGAACAAGTGACGCGACGCGATACAGACTGATGTACGTACTGTATGTCCACCATGCCGCCCGAGTGAGCGAACGCCGCCCCGCTAAGCATGGCACAGCACAGGCACACCAACTGGTCGTGCGAATGAAAGAATCGGTTGTACCTCCCCTGCTGGGTAAGTAGCTTTCGCGGGGGTACTACTAGAGACCCCGCGCTTTCTACGGAGCTACAGCGCCAGCAGGGGACACTTTCCGGTCCCCCTGTGCCTCAGACAGGGAAATTATAAAAACAACACAGAACACTTCCCCAAATTCACCCACGTGTCACAAATTCAGAAAGTAACGTACGGCAAAAACAATAAAACCCATAGAGAACCTGCACTCATTTTCGGGAGGGATCAACCCTAAACACGGGAACCCACATTATTTTTAGGGTTGATGCCTTCCCCGAGACGCATCCCTTCAAGATCTGGTTTTAGTTTTTTTCGGTCAGGTAAAGGGATATTTTTTCCCTTGGCTTGCGAAATTTGTGACACGTGGGTGAATGTGGGACCGAGTTCTGTGTTGTTGCCATAATGCTCCTGTCGGAGTGGCGGAGTGGCGGAAAGTGCCCCCATATAGCGCTGTAGTCCCCTTGAAAGCGCAGGGTCGCTAGTAGTACCCCTACGAAAGCTACTTACCCTCCCCTGCTAGAAACTTTGGAAACACACTCGTTAGTACACCTGATGTCTGTTTGAGCCCCTCTCGGTTGCCTTGTAAAGAGGGCGTAAAATCTATACCAAGTTTTTCGCTACGTTTCGTCAATTCGTAGCTAGCTAAAAAGGATTCGCATGTGCCTATATACTAGATCTGGTACCATATTTGACTTCAGTCTATTCTGCTTGACTTCGGTCTGTTCGTTACTATTGGTTGATAACCACGCGACGCGCTTGTAATGTAGGTGCATGAGGCTGGGGAAATAACCTCGGGTGCAGCGTATCCATCCGGCGCAAGGCAAATTCGCGTGCATGGGGTGAGCATCAGCTGTAGTTCTGTTCTTTGGACGTACTCGGACAGTTGAGAAATAACCGTTCCTAGCAGGTGGGTGATCTAAAATATCACTTATCCTGGGAACCATACCCAGCCATTCAAAACATTTCATTGAACGCTCTTAACCGTCATTGAACTCGTCAAACCGTACTGCCGCGTTCTTTGGCGCCTTTGGCCACAGGGTTGAGTTCTGTGTACCGGAATACATGCTTGTATAGCGCGATCCACTTCCTTCACATGCATTCCACAATTCCTTCCGCTCACGTGTCGGAAGATTGAGATGCGGTAAAATAGGAACCATAGTGTAGCAGCCGATTGCATATATTTTGGAATATATAATAGACAATAAATACATTGCTTAAGTCCAAGGAATAAAGTTTGGTCTTTGTTCTCCTTATATAGCAACATGATCACCCAATCCTATAGGAAATTATACTATTCGCATAAGCAAAGCTTACATCGTCAGGACCAATACTGGTGCCCACAACTGCTGACGACCCTTATTCACCGCCGTTCACCTCCATATCCCCTTTTTCGACCGACCCTGCCCTGATTCTCCCGCCTCCAGTGCTGCAGCTTTAGCTGCCGCCTCCACCTCCTCATTCTCGCACACCTTCACCACCTACATTCCCAATGTCTGGCCAAGTGACTTCTGAGTCAATTCACCTTGGAGCTGCCGCCTCCACCTTATCATTCTCACACACCTTCACAACCACTGCAGCTTTAGAGGCGGCGTCCGCCTCATCATTCTCACACACTCTCACCAACAGCTTGAGTTTTTCCAGTACTGACCTAATGTCTGGCCGGGTCGACCTATTATCCGCCACACTGTGCCGAGCCAGAGACGCCAAGCCTTCAAACATCGGCGTTGACAGGAAGTATATCAAGCAACAACCACCACTGGTGCCACAGCCACCAAAGGCCCCTCTTCACCTCCAGTCACCTCCGTATGCCCCCCTTCTGACCCTGATTCCCCTGCCTCCAATGCTGCAGCTTTAGCTGCCGCATCTGCCTCATCACTCACACACTCTCAACAACAGCCTTAGTTTCTTCAGTACGGTCCCAATGGCCAGCCGGGTCGTCCGATCGTCCGCCACACAGTGCCGAGCCAGAGTCGCCAAGCCTCGGGAAAAGACCAGCTCTCGTATGAAGTATATCAAGCAACAACCACCACTGGTGTTACAGCCACCAACGAACCCTCTTCACCTCCAGTCACCTCCATACCGCCCCTTTCTACTGACCCTAGCCCCCCCCTCTCCAATGCTGCAGTTTCAGCTGCTGCCTCTGCCTCATCACTCTCACACGCCCTCACCAACAGCTTCAGTTTCTCCAGTACAGCCCCAATCTCAGGCCGGGTCCTCCGATCGTCCGCCACGCAGTGCCGAGCCAGAGTCGCCAAGCCTCGGGCGCCCCGCTCCGGGTACTGGTTACCAAGATGCGGATCGATGTATTCCGCGGCTTTACGTGTGAGGTCGGAGAGGCGTGTTCTGCACTCGATGACCATTTTTTCTCCCTCGTCCACCACTCTCCTCCCGGTTACCAGCTCTAACAGGAGAACGCCAAAGGAGTAGACGTCACTCTTGGCTCCCAGGTGTCCTGAGGAAGGGAGAAGGGGAGAAAGGGAAAGAGCGGACAAGGGCCGGGAAAGGGAGTGGGGATCAGAGTTAAGTTAAAAAAGGAAAGCGCCAAAGGAAGGATTAGACACCGCTCT